GCGCAGGGCTTTTTGAAGCGCGGGGCCCGGGGCGGCCGCCCCGTTCGCCCTGCCCTATATCCGCCCCTGGCAGGCAACTTGGGCATTGAAAAATGTCGGGCCTCCTCACTCACGGGCTAGAAAACACGCTGTACACAGGCTGTGAAACTGGCTCTCCAGCCATCTGAAAGGCCACCCACTAAGGGCTTCAAATTAACAAAGGCACCACCGGCACTGTCCCTGGAATGGCTTTCACCTCCGCCGCAGAGAAATGGCAGGGCAAGCTCCAACTCCCCTCTCGCAGTTCAGACAAACCCCAGATCTCCCAGGGTTCTAACGGCGCCGATACCTCCATCGCCAGCACTGGCAGACTCTGCGCTGCGGTATGACCCAGCAATCTGCTGCCATTCCCTAATGCACAAAACGCGTGCTCCCCCAATGACTAACAGAACAGCGAGAAACAGCTCCTCAGCCGAGTCCTCAGCATGGTACCTTTCTTACTTTCCCTTATCAAGGAGGAGCTCTCTGCTCTCACCACGCTCACCTATGCAATTCAGTCAGAGGGATACAAGAAGTGTGTTCTCTTCACAACTCATTCCCAGTCAGACGCCTGTGTCATACGGGATGCACAGGCTACAGCATTACCAATACCTCCTGTGGCACCCTGACTGGCAATACTCTCAGCATCCTAGCCGATGGTCCCCCTATAATTATTGGGCACTACAGCACAGCTCCACTGCCCCTCCCACGCCTGTACAGAGATCACTGCCGACTATACACTCTGATCCATCACGTTCTCCATCAAAGGGTTCAGACCTCGAGGAAGAGCAGATCACGGATGATCCCACCATCTAATAATCAGAGATGCCACCAAACGACAACTTGTCTTCTGCTCCTGATGAAGCTGTTATCCGAGATGATCCCTCACCTAGTGATGATCTGAAACATTTTCAAGATTTATTCAAAAGGGTCGCCGCCAGCCAGGAGGTTGGTTTATCAGAAGTGCAGTAAAAGCAAACACAAGCTTTTAAAGAACCTCCAGCCCTCTACAAAAACCAAAATTGTGCTGCCTGTAGGCGAGGCAGTACTTGAAGCAGTGGATGAAATATGGCAAACGCCAGCCACAGTCCCCCCTCCACTCCACCAACAAAAGAGCTGATAGGAGAGACTTTGTTCTATCAAAAGGAACAGACTTTTTATTCTTATACCCTCAACCCAATTCTTTAGTGGTCGATGCTGCAAATCAAAGGTCTAAAAAGCCTCAGTACAAACTAAATATACAAGACAAAGACTACAAACGCTTGAATGTGTATGGGAGAAAAATGTACTCCTCCTCAACCCTTCAGCTTCGCATAGCTAACTACACAGCCCTTCTTGCTAATCATGACTTTGACAACTATGCAAAACTTACATAGTTCATGCAACATCTCCCAGAGGATAGGAGACCTATCCTCAAAGCCATCATCAAAGAGGGGTATACTATATCCTGAACAGCTCTATAGATGCCCCTTGATGCCGCTAACACCACAGCAAGGGCTACAGCAATGTCCATAGTAATGAGATGCTCATCCTGGCTTCAAGCATCTGGAGTTCCTAAGGACCTCCAGGCCAAGGTAGAAGCGCTACCATTCACTAAGGACAAATTGTTCACTGCAAAGACTGATGAAGCTTTGCATTCTAGCAAAGACGCGCACATTGGGATGCCACCTTTGGCAGGCAGCAGCAACATCGACCATTTGACCAAACAACGAGAAGTCCTGTGGCACCTTATAGACTAACAGATTTATTGGAGCATAAGCTTTCATGGGCAAAGACCCACTTTGTCAGATGCATCTGATGAAGTGGGTCTTGGCCCACGAAAGCTTATTCTTTAATAAATCTGTTAGTCTGTAAGGTGCCACAGGACTTCTCGTTGTTTATGCAGATTCAGACTAACATAACTACCCTCTGATATATTTGACCAAAGCTGCTTCTGACTGCGCAACCAATGGAGAAGAGCCTCAAACACACATTCTTCCACAGTTCAGGCCTCTAGACAGCAGGTTTGAGAATTTGGTCAAGGGTATGCTTGACCTCCCTTCTATACCAGTGCTAGGAGAACCCAACATCTTCCACCACCACTTGCACCCTTTTTACAACCAATCGGCAGCAATCACCACAGATCCATGGGTTTTAGAAATCATCAGCTGCAGGTACTCTGTCCCTTTTGTTTTGATTCCCCCAACTTCCTCACCCTATCCCTCCCTCTTCAGTGATGGTCCTCATGAAACCTTTCTCTGCCAAGAAGTCCAACACCTTCTCAACATAAGAGCTGTACAATGGGTCCCCAAACAATACCACGGGGGAGGTTTTTACTCAAACTGCTTTCTCACCAGAAAGAGAACAGGGGATTGGAGGCCTACTTTAGACCTCCATCAACTAAACAGATATTTTCAAAAGCAGCATTTCAAAATAGTTACATTCACTATGTTTATTCCTGCACTGGACTTGGGGGACTGGTTTGCAGCCCTTGACCTCCAAGATGCATATTTCCATATCATAATACACCCTGTGCACAGACATTTGCTATGCTTTCAATACAGAGCCCTCCCATTTGGACTTTCCTCTGCCCCCAGAGTCTTCACCAAGACCTTGGCAGTTGCAGCAGCACATCTCCTTCAAAAAGGCATCACAGTTTTTCCTTATTTGGACAATTGCCTCATCCGAGGTCCCTCCAGTCAGATCACAAGGGACATGATCAGACTCACAAAGGCCTTCCTTCAGTCTATAGGTTTCATTATCATTGACCAAAAATCCACTCTACACCCTACACTCCCTAGAGTTCATAGGGGCTTATATAGATTCTATGACAGCACGCACCTATCTCCCCAATCAACACTTCAACAATATAAAAAGCCTGGTCATGATCATGACCACCAGCCCAACCATTCCCATTCTAACCTGTCTCAAACTCATGGGGCATATGGCAGCCACTACATATGTCTTCCCGCATGCCAGACTGCTCTTTCGATGTTTCCAACACTGAACTGAATTGCGTCAGTGTATACACCAACCAAGCACCGCGTCCACAGGCACGTTTCGCCTCCACCGAAAGTCCTTATTTCCTCTCAATGGTGGATTCAGGCACAGAACCTCTGCTCGGGGGTGCCCCTCCACTGAGATCAACTATCCAAACAAATCACTACAGACACCTCACTTCTAGGTTGGGATGCCCACTTCCAATATGTACAAGGAAAGTGGTCTAACAATGAGTCCAAGCTCCACATCAACCTGCTTTGAGACATTCACAACAGGTGCAAATATTTCCTCCCACACATTCTGGGATCTTCAGTGCATATTCTCACCGACAATATGACCACAAAGTTCTACATCAACCACCATGGGGGTGCCAGATCCCCTTCTTTCTGTGTAGAGGCAATTCAGCTCTGGAATTGGTGCATCTGACACAACATAACCGTCATAGCAGCATACCTACCTGGGGAAAAGAATACCATGGCCTATACCTTCAGCCGCCACTTTGTCACAAAGCATGAATGGGACCTGCAAAGTCAGGTCTCCCATGATCTATTCAAATGCTGGGGTCAACTGCAAATAGACCTCTTTGCAACCAGCCACAATTCCAAATATTCCCAGTATTGTTCCAGAGTGGGCATAGGGCACAGCTCCTTGGGAGATGCAATGAGCTCTTACCATGGAATACTCACCTGTTATACGCCTTCTCTCCTCTACATCTAATTCCCAGAGTTCTCCAGAAGATACAGACAGATGGGGCCCACATAATTCTAATAGCCCCAGCTTGGCCTCGATAGACATGGTTTCCATGTCTTTATCAACTGGTTTTACAACCTCCCTGCCTGCTTCCATCCCACCTGGACTCTCCTCTCCCAGAGCAAGGGCGTGATACTTCATCCCCAGCTGCAAAGACTTCACCTAATGGCTTGCTATCTTTCTGGTTTTCGGAAGCGGAGCAACAGTGCTTGCAACGAGTAAGAACTGTACTACTGCATAGCAGGAGAGAAAATACACAAAATACTTACCTGCACAAATGGCAATGGCTCACACAGTGGTGTACCCAGGAGTCCAACCATCTACAGCTCTGCTCCATTTGGTCCTGGAATACATCATGCACCTGAAACAACAATTTATCTCTGTCATCACTCTGAGTTCACCTGGCCACGATCACACCCTTTCACCTCCCTATAGATGGATTCTCCATATTTGCCCACCCCACCTCTAAGAGGTTTTGGAAGGGCCTACAGAACCTTCACCCACCACGGACACCCATACCTCCGATGTGGGACTTACGACTAGTCCTCCACTCACTCAGAAAACTACCTTTCGAGCCAGTGGCAACTTCATCACTTACCTTT